TTACCACCGAGTTGAACATTGCGGCCGCCTCGTCCCAGGAACTCTCCCAGTCGAGCGGAACGAACCGCGTCAACCCGCTCTGGCCCTCCCTCATTGTCGGGATGGCCGTCTTTCTGATCACCATCATCGTCCTGGGATACCGCCGGCAAAAGAACAACGGACRCGGCCTGGRCGACAGCAGCGACGACGACGATTCCATCTGGAGACGCCTCGGGGGCCGCAAGCGCAACCGGRRMAGAAAGASCGGGRACCGCAACAAGCACATCCGGGTCCACGTCAACACGGACGGATCGACGCTGGACGCCGGAGACGAGGAAATCGAGGTGGAGGACCGCTACTATTCCGGGAACGCTTCCTCCGTAGCCTCGACGACCGTGTACGACGAGGAACAGCTCCGGAGGGAGCGCGAGCGAAACCTCGACAAGGAGTACGCCACCTCGTGCCTCAGGCCCGCCACCATGGGCCTCGCTCCCACGCACGGCAAGGGCAACAGCAACACCGTCGAGGAACACCACCACCACCACCACCACGGCCACGAAACCAGCTTCGACTCGGGCCRCGCCAGCGCGCAGCACCTCGATTACTACCACGACGAAGACCTGGGCGGCCCGAACGCAAGCCTAGGCCGAAGCACCACGGGCGGCAACCACAAGAAGACCTGCCTCCCCGGGATTCGCAAAAAGAGGAAGAAGAAGAAGAACCGCTACGACGACGACGGGGACCTGTCGACCTACTCCGTCCCCCTGCAGGACGCCAACGGCTCGAGGGGGATCGACCTCCCGAGGGGGGTCGACCTCACCACCAGCGACGACCGCCAGACGGGGCGGCCCTCCCGMGAGCCCTGGAGGARCGACGCAAGGCTGGGGGAAGAGACCGAGGCCAGCAGCGACATGACGGCTTCGGAACGCCTCAAGTTCGTCCGGTACATGCAGTCGGGAATGACGCTCGAGCAAGCCTCCTCGCACGTCCTCTCGGAGCGCAAGGCAGCGGCGGAACAGCTGCAACAACAACAACAGCAAGAAGAACAACAGAGGCAGCTTTCGCGCCAGCGGTCGTCCCCGCGGTTGTTCCGGAAAAGCAGGTCCAAGCCCCGGACCGGGGCTTCCGGCACGGGCAGCGGCCCGCTGGACTGCCTCRGCGGCGATGCCTCCCTCTCGCCCACCGCCCAGCAGACCCTCGAGTCGGAGGTCGTCATGGAAGACGGGGAAACCACCATCCACATCCCCGATCCCCGTTTCTACTCYYCGTYCTCCTCCCCCGGGGACGGCCACGKGGGCGTCCGGACGAACAACAACATCTACCGGAGGGCGACCCGCACGGGGAGATCGGACCGCAGCGAGAGCGACGGGGGGACCCCCCAGGCGATGGTCCTCACCGAGGCCTCCTCGTGCGCCTCGTCCTTTGACGACAACGACTTTGCCCGGGCGATCGGGGAGGCCCCGCGGTCCRAGGAGGCCTTTGCGTAGGACGGACGAATACGAATACGACGACGACGGGAGGGGCTCTGGGTTTTTTCCCGGGGGCGGTTCGGGAACGCCGGTGCGAGAAGTGCAAGCACGCACGCTTCATCCAATCAAAACAAAACAAAACAAGACGAACCAAGCCATTCGCTTGTTCGTTCGTTCGTTCGCTCTTCTTCTTCTGTGGGAAGGGTGCCCACGGGCGAGGGGTTTCCATCCATTCCGCTGGGTTCGTTCCTTTCTCTCCCCGGAAGGAAGACACCCGGGCCGTCTTGTTTCCGCGCCGAGGACGGGAAACAAGGGCCATGCATGTAGCATTAGTATAGTATCGAGTTTTGCCGACTCGATTGTATTTAAAAAACGAGTTTTGAAACCGTCGTCTGCTGTGCTGTGCTGTGCTGTGCTGTGCTGTGCTGTGCTGTGCTGTGCTGTGCTGTGTAGGATGTAGTAGTTGAGCACAACATGCTACGGGTTTGTTGTAGTGCTACGGCATGATGTACAAATCTCTCAGCGTAACAAACCGAAGGGCTTAGCACAAGCGGTGTTTTCTCGCAAGAACCATGTGCAGTATCGGATACGCCTCTTGTTCTCTATAGCACCACTCTTGTTCGGATTAATTACTTGTAGTAGCACTCCTCCAAAAGGCAGASCGTGTTCGTGATCTTTCGATACAGTACCACATTGAAAGTTCACTTGAAGCTGATATTATTATTGTTGTTGTTTGAGACCAAGATGTTTCGACTATGGTGATTTCAACTACTACGAGAGCAGTACGAACTACGAACTAGTAGAGTCAGGTACGATCAGAGCAAATACAATGCCAGCATTTTATTATGAGGTAGAGCATGTAACATAGATCGACCAAAATTATGAGATGGGAAGCGGCTTAGACACACAGCTCAATTATCTAAATTATAAGACTAGAAGTAAAGTAGTAACCCGAAAAGCATTTCATTGGATCTTCAAGTGATCAAAATGTGGGGAGAAGGGGTCAACAACCCAGGCCAGTCTACTACAGAACCTTTTCGAGCATGCTCTTTGCCATGCCTAGTATGATATCGGGGGTGAGTTCGGATTGATCCTTGATCACGCTTCCGATTTCCCTTTCATGTTTTTGCATTTCTAGAAAAGTAAAAAAATGATTTGGCGACGTGCCATTTCCACAGCCGAATCCCCATTGATCGGAGCTGTTCATATAATACACATTACCGGCTGTCACCCCTACAAACCGCAAGTTGTTTCGAGTATCGTTCCAGTCGATCKTGCACTCGAAGCCTTTCATGGATCCATCGAGACCGATGGGGGGGTCTCCAGATGCAACAATGCATGTGTTGTTTTCAAAGAGGTGGTTCTCCCCGCCCCATATCTGGGCGCAGGGGTCGCCAGACCACCGTCCGGGAAAGACCAAAAGATTCGAGATCCATCGTTTGTCGTGTCCGAGGTAGTTCTTGGCGCCACCGTACACCAAGAAATTATTGGCAATGTAAAAATACGATGAACCGTCGTCGTTGTCGATCGTAGGGAAGAGGTTTCCCAGGTTTCGATTCCCGCTCGGTCCGTTCATGATGAAATTCCGCTCGATGTGTGCCCACTCGGGGATCAGGGTGGGCTTAGGCAATTCGTCGGGAGCGCCTCGGTGATCTCTCTGTACATACATTGCTCTGTCCCAGGTATTGATGGGACCGTKGTCTTGGGTTTCTCTCACCCAATTGAACAGGAGGTTGTCTCGGATCGTGTGTCCGTGACAAAATTGATCGTTCAGGTTGATCCCCGCCCTCGGTCCGTTGTAGGCCACGTTCGAGACAAATGTTGTTCGGCAGCTCAGAGCGGAAAACAGAGCGCTGGTTTGTTTGCCGTGAATGCCAATCTCGTGAAAATGGTTYCCTGCTATAAACGTGTCTTCGGGGAAGGTATCGACTGTGAACCCATCCGCCATCGCGAGGCGGCCCACCGTGACCACCGCACTGTCGCCAATCCAGGCAAATTCGTTTCGTGAAACACGACACCGCTTTGCGTGTCCMGATAGGAACAGGGCATTGCCTCCGGTGCGGAGAAACCGGCAGCCAATGAGAGCAATTTCTTGGACGTTCTCGAGGAAGACCGCACCGCCTCGGTGAATGGACCAGTCCCCCGGGCTGGGCACCTCGTATGGTTCCAGGAAGGTGGTTGCGCTGTGGGAGAATGTGATTCCGTTCATAGCGATTCGGTTTGCGGTTCGGTCCTTCGAGTTTTCACCCATCACGGTGACGATCTGTTGGAGTCTAGGTGCCACAAAATCAACCCGTAGCTCGCTCGCGGGAGTGCTCTCGCTGTGGTGATTTCCATTCATTGTTTCGTTTCCAAAAGGGTAGTAGAACAACACCTGGTTCGGAACATCAAGCCACCATTCCCCTGGCTCATCGAGAGCTTCCTTGACACCTTCTACGAAAAAGGGTTGGTCTCGGATGCTACCACCACGACCCTCCTGCCATCCACCACGGGAAAAAGAAATCTGCCCCATCTCCCTCCCGCTGTTCTGGACTTCTTCYACCTCGAATTGCCAATTTCCCCAAAAGGCTTCGTGAAAGACGTGAGCGATTGCGGGTGCGTACCCCTYGGGGGTCCACCGAGATGTGTTCATTGCACTGGTGCTGGCATTGTACCACAACCCCATGGGCACGGTGCCGTTCCAGAAGCCCGCTTGGTCGAAAAAGCGGTCCCCTGTCCCACCAAGATGGAACCAGTTCCCACCCCCGCGTGGATCTAGGTCTTCTCCGTACCACGGATACACCGTGGAATTGCGCGACRTGCCACCTTCTTTGCCGATCRTGAAATGAATCGCACSTGAGGGATCAGGCCACGTCCCAGAGGTGGTACCGTTTGCCCTGGTGTAACCGTCGGGCTGCAGGTCGCGTTCGGGATGACCATTGGGTTCCCTGGCCCAGACGAGGCGAAGGTCGTCGCCCTCGGAGCGGGCAAGGAAAAGGGTTGTGAAGTTGCAATGTAATGGCAATTGCGATGGACGGGAATTTTTGTATTCATTGCGTTTGTCACTCTTGCTTGTGCGTTTTCTTCCAGGAGAAGGAAGCTTTGCCCAATAAATATTTTGGTCTTCCGCCGTTGGATGCATCGTCAGTGATAAGGGATAACCCCCGCTCAGTATTGGGGTTTCGTTAGGGTAGGGAAGGATGGTTAGGTCATTGTCCCTAGAATCCAGAGCAATGGTGTCTTCCAAGTAGTAACGACCACCTCTCAAAACGATGGCGTAGAAAGAACCAGTATTGTTGACGGTATCTTTGTCATTGTCGTTGCCACCGCTGTGGCTAAATTTGCGACTCCGTCGCGTTGTGGCAAGGGCGGTCTCGATCGTACGAAAAGGACGTGGAAAGCTCCCCGAAGCCCCGTCATCGCCGTGTTCTGGATCGACAAAGAAAAAGACAATGTCCTTTTTGTTGGGAGGGCTCATTCCCTGTCGCTGCATGCTTTGTACCGTTGCTTCCAAGTCCTCAAAAAGAGGTTTAGTTGTAGTCTCTGCTGCTGTTGTTTTTGTTCTTATTTTTCCCGTTTGTTCTTCGTTCAATCTCCTTGTTCTGTGCCGCAAAATTTGAAATCCCTCCGTGGAGAGCAAAGTGGTACGTGAGAGCGACAACGGCAATGCTTCTAGAGAATCGGTAGAATCCTTCTCAGGATTCTCTGCTTCGTCTTGTCGATGTTCGATGGTGGTCGGATSAAGAGAAGGATCGGCAGCGCATTCCTGGAGACGCAAAGCGTCCCGAACAGATTGCTGCTCGGCGTGAGAGGACCACGGCAACTTTCGGATTGCATACTCGTAGGCGTACTTTCTGACGGCGCAATCAAAGCCATCAGGCAATGGCGAAGAAGAAAGAGTTGGTTTGTCGTCCTCTCTTCCAGTGCGCTCACTTCCGCCAAATGTTTCTGAAGGATTRATATTGGTGGCTGCGTTAAAGTTGGACTCGCGTGAACTCAACCATAAAAGGAACAAAACTACGAACAACAATCGAGGCGAGGCAGTGKTCGCCAGTGATCGCATACTAACTGTGAACACGACGGCATTGTTTTTCAATCCTGTCATGATTCTCGTGCCGTCGATTGGCTACCAATTGCGAGCAGTTCCGCTCTACTAWTTTTTGCTGTGAATAGCGAACTGTGCACACTGATGTTGAGTTTTGGGTACCTATTGTACCTTCAATCATCATGGGCGTCGAGATTTGAGTGAGGACTGAGGACATACAAGATATGTTTTTCAAGAAAAACCACGGAATTTACGGTATTTACTCTTGTCCTTCACGTACGAGTACGTACCGGTATATTTCTCTGCCGTAAATCAAGCCATCAGAAAAATAGAAAATCACGGAGAGTGGAAGATACAGAATTAGCACTGGTATGGTGTACTAACGTACATTANGTAAATCAAGCCATCAGAAAAATAGAAAATCACGGAGAGTGGAAGATACAGAATTAGCACTGGTATGGTGTACTAACGTACATTATGTCTAATAATCGTCGAGTAATTAGTTGCGCGCGGGTAATCATCGAGTAATCAAGGTCGAACGGAACGGTAATCTTAATTTTCATGTAGAATGCGCGCACTGTAGATTCTTCTCCTAGGGTGAGAGCGAGGTACAAGCACGAATCCCTTAGGAGAAGAATCTACAGTGCGCGCATTCTACGTGAAAATTAAGATTACCGTTCCGTTCGACCTTGATTACTCGATGATTACCGAGTAATCAACAGGAGGCCGAATCCCCGAGGTACGAGGAGGATGAGACCGATGTTGATTACTCTAGTAACTCACTGAAGTTGTGTCTGAATCCGAGGGACGAGGAATGAAGACACAACTGAAGTGAGTTACTTTAAGCACTCAGACTAATTGACTCGTCGATTATTGATGTAATAGCCTGTTTACTCAGTTTCTTGCCGAGTGACCGCGGCGCCGGCAAATGAACTACAAGCACTGCCTCCTCCGATGTATCCGGATCGAGCAAATGAACTACAAGCACTGCCTCCTCCGATTTAGGGGATTGGGCTCTTTTCCCTCCCTGGTCCCTCTCTGGATGCTGCAAATGAACTACAAGCACTGCCTCCTCCGATGTAGGGGATTGGGCTCTTTTCCCTCCCTGGTCCCCCTCTCCGGATCGAGCAAATGAACTACAAGCACTGCCTCCTCCGATATAGGGGATTGGGCTCTTTTCCCTCCCTGGTCCC